TTGATTGGGAGCCGCACAGAGTGGCTGGGGAAACTCAGCCAGATGGGCCGGGTATAAATAATAAATTATTATTATTACTATTATTATTGAGCTGGATAAAGAGTCCAGGTATTGGTGACCATTTGATGGCCGCCTTTCAAGAGATGCCACTGCATTCACCACCTGCACTCTGACCACATGCCATCCCACTTCACAGCGACATAGGAACGGACACCATTGTAGGTGCCACGTAAGACCTTTCTCGCATTTGCAAGAGATCGAATCTTTGGCGTGGTGGCATTGCGTTTCGGCCACAGGCCCCACGCCAGAGGATTAGCCAATGGCAGGCAGGCCTGGGTCAGGTGGTCCGCCGGAAGGTGGGTCCGACTGCCGAATGGGCATCGCTTGGGTCTGCCCCGGGGGGGATCAAGGCTGGCCCAGCTCCTCCTCGATCTTTTTGTCGGATCTCCCACTCACCCCTCCCTTTTTCAAATGTTTCTTCTTTCATGCTAAGGCATTGCTGTGGAGATATTTGGAGCTGGGCAGCCATTTTCCCACTCGGCTAAATGGCACGGGCACTTGGTTTTCTTCTACCTCATAGCAATTGTCACAACTCCCCCCCCCCCCAAGATAATCTTTATTAGTTTTTTAGTTACATACTATACGGGAGGTGAGCTCCCATTGCTCGGTCCCTGCTCCTGCCAACCTAGCAGTTTGAAAGCACGTCAAAGTGCAAGTAGATAAATAGGCACCGCTCCGGCGGGAAGGTAAACAGCGTTTCCACGAGCTGCTCTGGTTCGCCAGAAGCGGCTTAGTCCTGCTGGCCACATGACCCGGAAGCTGTACGCCGGCTCCCTCGGCCAATAAAGCGAGATGAGCACCGCAACCCCAGAGTCGGTCACAACTGGACCAAATGGTCAGGGGTCCCTTTACCTTTACCTTATACATACACATATTACATTACATTTTACATTTATACTTGCTCCTAAGAGCTGAAATCCCTCCTTCCTTCTTCTGGCTTTTTTTATATCGTCTCTAAATTTTCCGCATTGTCTTTATCCATTTTGTATATAGTTGTTCTTTATCTGTCTATCTGACAAACAATAAGAATTGTGTATATAGAAAGATTTATTTGTTTACAGACTCTTTATGGACAAGTCGTCACAACTTTGTGAGGTTAGGCATTGGGACGCGGGTGGCGCTGTGGTCTAAACCACTGAGCCTCTTGGGCTTGCCAATCAGAAGGTCGGCAATTCGAATCCCTGCAACGGGGTGAGCTTCCGTTGCTTGGTCCCTGCTCCTGCCAACCTAGCAGTTCGAAAGCATGCCAAAAAGTGCAAGTAGATAAACAGGTACCACTGCAGCAGGGAGGTCAACGGCGTTTCCGTGAGCTGCTCTGGTTTGCCAGAAGTGGCTTAGTCATGCTGGCCACATGACCCGGAAAAACTGTCTGTGGACAAACACTGGCTCCCTCAGCCTGTAAAATGAGATGAGCGCCGCAACCCCAGAGTCGTCTGCAACTGGACTTAATTGTCAGGGGTCCTTTACCTTTATCTTTAAGCCTAGCCTTGGCTGGAGGGAAGGTTGTAGCCCCTCCTTGGTTAAGGGTATCTCGTTGAAGGGATCTGTGAGTTGCTTCTGTCCGGTGCCCAGATGGGGGCTTGGGCCATAGAACTCCTCCTACCCTTTGGGGGGTACCCCTATTTGATGTAAGTCTTGGGGGGCATGTGTGGTTTAACCTTAGATACACTCCCAGCAGGTGGACTGGAGTTAAATAAATGCCTATGCCAAACCTTTCACATCTGTAGCCTATTTAAACCCCAAAGCTACATGCTGCTGTCATGACCCATAGGGAGCTATTGGGTCACAGGGCCTTGGCCCTCAACAGCTACACTGTGGAACTCCCTGCCTATTGACATCAGAAAGGTGCCTTCAATGTACTCTTTTTGTAGCCTGCTAAAAACATTCCTGTTCAGACAAGCCTATGCAGACGTGTAGAATACGTAGGTATGTTTTGATGCGTTTTCAATTAATTGTTGATTTTAGGTTTTGAATGAATATGCTTTCACAGATAATTTTATTGTTTCATTTTCTTCTCAAGCCACTTAGAGGGTTAAAGAACAAACAAACAAACAAACAAGCAGCATATAAATTTTATGGGATAAATAAAACAAATAAAACCATCACAAGCTGTTGGGCATCGTACTGATAAATGGAAAGTACCTTTCTTTACTCTAGGGGAGAAAAGGGATGCAGATTGTCAAATGCGTTTCTAGTTATGCATTCCAAAGGAACCAATTTGTTCAGCTGGCGGGCTTTATCTCATGAAACATCATACCTACGTGAGACGCAAAAAGGGCTGGATGTAACCTGCAGGATCTTTTCTCACGGAGCAATTGCAACTTTCCGCTCCTCCTCCTCCTCCTGTGTGTTTTTCTTGCATTCCTCCCATTGCCTCAATCCAGTGAAAGTCTGTCTTTGACTTTAATTAAAAAGCCACAATTGGTTTGTTTTGAACTGGAGATATCCCTGTTCTTCCCTGCAGGGGTGTGTTTGGTTCTGTGGGATATTGCAGAAGGGAAGATAGAATCGTTCTAGTTGGGGAGAAAGGGTGGGAACCAGGAGGCTACACCTGTTGGGAACCTCACAGGTTCTCAGAGATGTGTCGGGGAGTCTTTGGAGGAAATCAGTGCAGATCTAGAATTTGGGCTGTTTTCTCAGCTCTCCGGGATGTTGCAAGAGACCAAGGCCCATTACCAAGCTCCTTGCCTGAACCTTGCAACTGGTTTCTTGAGGCAAAAAGACAAAGCTTTGCGCAGTGTGCAGAGTCAAGCAGCAACATGCACACTGTCCTATCTCATTTATTTAAATTTCCTTCTTGCCCTATCAGGTTGGCTTGCTGCATTTACAGATAATGTCATCCCAGCCTGCAATCTGTACAGAGGAACAGGTTTTGAAACAAGGAGAAGCCAAGCCTGTGTTGACTGTGGCAGACCCTCCAAGTGTCCCTGTTATCCAGGGACGCCCCTGATTTAAAGAAGCCATCCCGGTATCTGGTTTGATCCCAGAATCTCCCACTTTTCCATGTTGTTGTTGTTGTTTAGTCGTTTAGTCGTGTCCAGCTCTTCGTGACCCCCTGGACCAGAGCACGCCAGGCACTCCTGTCTTCCACTGCCTCCTGCAGTTTGGTCAAACTCATGCTGGTAGTTTCGAGAACACTATCCAACCATCTTGTCCTCTGTCGTCCCCTTCTCCTTGTGCCCCCCATCTTTCCCAACATCAGGGTCTTTTCCAGGGAGTCTTCTCATGAGGAGGCCAAAGTATTGGAGCCTCAGCTTCAGGATCTGTCCTTCCAGTGAGCACTCAGGGCTGCAACCCCAGAGTCCCCTTTGACTGGACTTAACCGTCCAGGGGTCCTTTACCTTTACCTTAGTTTTGGGATTCAAATAGGCTACAGATGTGAAAGGTTTGCCATAGGCACTGGGTGAAGCCATTTATTTAACTCAAGCCCTTCTGCTATGAGTATATTTAAAGGTAAACCACAAATGGGGAGGGGGCAGGGAGCAGAGGGTCAAGGGAGCCCCTGGCACTGATGCCACCAATGCTTCCTTCTGGGCGGGCACTGAGTGGGTGAGCAGGCAGTGCGCTCCCACTTGACTCTGGTGGGGCGGACCCCAGAGAGCCAATGCAGAGATGCACTCTCCACTCTCTCTACAAGAAGGGGATGCCGTCCCAGCCCCAAAGGCCCAGCCCTGGTACATGACCCCAGTCAAGCTTGCAAAAATTTATCATTTGCCCGATAACAAATGTTGGAAATGTAAAGAAACTGAAGGTACATTCTTTCACCTTTGGTGGACGTGCCCAAAGATCAAGGCTTTCTGGGAAATGATATATAATGAACTGAAAAAGGTATTTAAATATACCTTTCTGAAGAAACCAGAGGCCTTTCTCCTGGGCATTGTCGGCCAATTGGTGCCAAAGAAGGACAGAACCTTTTTTATGTATGCTACAACAGCAGCAAGAATACTCATTGCAAAGTATTGGAAGACACAAGATCTACCCACTCTGGAAGAATGGCAGATGAAGGTGATTGACTACATGGAATTGGCGGAAATGACTGGCAGAATCCGAGACTAGGGAGAAGAGTCGGTCAAAGAAGACTGGAAGAAATTTAAAGACTATTTACAGAAATATTGTAAAATTAAGGAATCTTAGAAGGATGTTGGATAGAAACTAAGAGGTTTTTAGCTGTAATGCCTTAAGAGATATGAAAAAAGGTTTACAATTGGGTAAAAGTTTAATGGTAAGGATTTGCTGAACTAACAAACTGAACTGGAATACAAAAAGGGAGGTATGAGGAGGTCCGGGAAATAAGTGTAGGGAAGATAGGTTTGGAAAATCAATGTCTTTTTAACTGTTTTATTTTGTATGTTTCTTTTTTATTCTTTACTTTTTTGTTATATTTTAAAAACTCTACTCTTTTTTCTGTATTCTGTATTTTTTGTATTTTTTGAAACTTTAATAAATATCATTTAAAAAAACAAAAACAAAGGCCCAGCCCTGGAGCAGCTTACCTCCCCGCAGGGTGCCTGTTGTGGGGGCACCTGGTTGTGCCTTCTCACACCCTTTCAGAATCATGTGCCCGGGGCCACCACCCCCACAGACCCGGTCAAGCTACACCAGTGACCATCGTTGTATCCTGCTATATGTGCCGTGGCCTCTGTCCACCACCAGGGTAATGTATGTAGGCAGGATTTGCAACCATGCGAGTGAGAGCTCCTGAGCTCTTGAGGTGCGGGACATGGGGCGTATCCTGCCACTGCAATCCAATAATAATAATAATAATAATAATAATAATAATATATTTATACCCCACCCACCTGGCTGGGTTTCCCCAGCTAATCTGGGCGGCTCCCAACAGAATTAAAAGCACAATAAACCATTAAACATTAAAAACTTCCCTGAACAGGGCTGCCTGTTCTAGATGTCTTCTAAAAGGCAGATAGAGCCGCTTCAAGGAGGTGGATTTGTGGGCTTCATGGCCCGGCAGCTGGAGCCAGCCCCATGCAATTGGGGGGATTCCCGGTCGCATGATCCCTTGGCCAGCCAATCGGCTGGCTCTGGGGGTGAGGCTTGCCCTATTTAAGACAGCATGCGACTGGGGATCTCCTTCTTTTGCCACCTGCCAGCTGTTCCTGCTTTTCCTGCCCTATAAGGTTTCTGTTCCTTGACCTTGCTATGGACCTTGGTTGGTCACCGTTGAGGGGCCTGGTAGGAATTGTTCCACTTGGCAAATTGGCACCAGCCAGTTGGTTTTCGCCCACCTCGTTGCAAACCGTCACAACTTTCTGGGTATTGGTGGTTAGGCATTGGTATTGTTCTGTAGATGGAAGAGGGGAGGAAGCGCCATCACCTGCCCCACATATTGAAGGGTAGTCCGATAAAGGATTCCGGGGGATGTGGCCCTGTCCGAAGCCGAGGGAGGTGAGGGTCTAAGGCACGCCTCCTAACGGTGACCCCGGGGGAGTTCCTAGTTGATGTGCATCAGCAGGACTCCCCCTACTGGTCGTTAACCCTTCCCGGACTTCAAGCGGACGGGCTGAAGCCGGATATAGTCGGTTAGGACCAATGCCTAAGCCAATACCGCTCAACACCTGTAACCAATAAAAGTTGTGGCCTTATTTAGCCCATTAGCCTTAATAACTGTGTCATGTGTCATTATTTCCATGGGGGGGGCGGGAACTCGCCATGCAATTGTTTATTTCCTTGACATCTCATGGGAGGGCGTTCCGCAGGGCGGGCGCCACCACCAAGAAGGCCCTCTGCCCATCGGATCATAATAAGCATCTGCATCAGGCGTTGGCTCACCCAGTCCAGCATCCCGTTCTCACAGTGGTCAACTGGATACCTGTGGGAAACCTGCAATCAGGATTCGAACTCAGGTGCACACTCTCCTCCTGAGATTTCGAGCCACTGGTGCATACATGCAAGCACACTGATTCATTAAACACCTTGCTGAATGACTGGACCAGGCTGATATTATATTGCAGCCCTAGACATACAAAGGCACTGCTCTGCAATCTTCCACCCTCCTCCAGACTGTGATATTTTTGGTGGAAATGGTCTCTATGAACTTGAGCCTTCCAACAGAACAACTGCTCGCCTGGGTCCTTTTCTGCTCTCCCATGCTTAGCATAAAAGTTACATAACTTTGCGTAACACAAGCCAACTGATCTTTGTGTCCTCCCTCTGCAGAGGAGCCTGTGGCAAGAGATCGACAAACACAAATGTAACTCATTAATGGCTTTCTCTTTTGTACCCCGCCAACCCCTTGAGGTTGCGCCACTCATACCCCAACCCCACCCCAAGAACTCGGAAGGGCAAGGTTTTAATTCTCCCAGTGTGTGAAAACAGTAGGCAAAGACGAAAATCTCAGGCTAAATTTAGCCACCGATTGCACAAACAGCCCCTCCCAGGGATCCAGCCCTTTTAAGACAGTTTCATAATTCCGCTCTGGTGGAGGAGCTCTGATCTCCAACGATCGGTGGCATGAACAATTTATGACTTGTTATGGAATTATGATGGGAGGAGGAGTTCTCCACCATGTGACCCCCCACTTTCCTAGAGGAAACGTATTTCGTAACCTAACATTTGGAAGAGGAGCATCATGTGCCTCTAAAATCTTCCGTTTGGCTGGATTCCAAAGGCGAAGGAAGGAAAGCGATGAAACACTTTCTGGAACAGGGTTGCCAGACAGCCAGGATCATACCGGTTTGGGCAGTAAAATAGGGTTGAACGAGGCTGTGGGAGGGGCTATGTAGCTCAGTGGCAGGGCAGGTGCTAGGCGTGCAGAATGTCATGGGCTCAAAGCACAGCATTTATCATCAGAAGTATCTCAGGTAGCTTCCCTGGAGAAGAGACCCTCAGGCTCAGACCTTGCAGAGCCACTGTCAGTCAGAGTAGATAAAGCTGGCTAGCTGGATCAGCGTAGGGTTAGCCAGTTTGATGCCATATTGATTGATTGATTTACTTACTAACTTTGTATATCACCCTTCATCCGAAGATCACAGGGCTGTTTACAATTGTTGTTGTTTAGCCGTTTAGTCGTGTCCAACTCTTCATGACCCCCTGGACCAGAGCACGCCAGGCACTCCTGTCTTCCACTGCCTCCCGCAGTTTGGTCAAACTCATGCTGGTCGCTTCAAGAACACTGTCCCACCATCTCGTCCTCTGTCGTCCCCTTCTCCTTGTGCCCTCCATCTTTCCCAACATCAAAGTCTTTTCCAGGGAGTCTTCTCTTCTCATGAGGTGGCCAAAGTATTGGAGTCTCATCTTCAGGATCTGTCCTTCCAGTGAGCACTCAGGGCTGATTTCCTTAAGAATGAATACGTTTGATCTTCTTGCAGTCCATGGGACTCTCAAGAGTCTCCTCCAGCACCAGAATTCAAAAGCATCCATTCTTCAGCGATCAGCCTTCTTTATGGTCCAGCTCTCACTTCCATACATCACTACTGGGAAAACCATAGCTTTTACTATATGGACCTTTGTTGGCAAGGTGATGTCTCTACTGCTGTTTACAATACAAAAACACAAAAATATATCCCACAGCCACAAGCAAAGACAATATCCTCCCTTGGTTTAAAAGGCCATAGAGTGTTTAATTAGCCAAAGGCCTAGAAGAGAGTTTTTGCCTGGTGCCTAAAGATACATAAAGAGGGTACCAGGTGAGCCTTCTTGGGGAGAGCATCTTGCAAACAGGGAGCCACCACAAAAAAGGCCCATTCTCGTGTTCTCACCCTCAGGACCTCTCGGGGGGACATAGAGAAGGGTCCTAGATGCCAAGCACAGAGTCCGGGTTTGTTCATATGGAAAGAGGCATTTCTTGAGGTATTGCGCTCCTGAGCTATTTAAGGCTTCTGTAAATCCAGGGCTGTTCCTGGAAAACAGGGACACTTGGTGGGTGTGATCCAAGATGGCAGCATTTGTGCCTTTTCTGAAAGCTGACCCTCCTGGCTATTCTCACTTAACTTTTCCACGAAATACAATATCCTCCCTTTCCAGTCAAAACTACAGACGACCGAGGGGTAGCTGGCGCATGTGAGGCTGCTTGCGGCATGATCAGTCATTCATTTTGCCAAAGATACACAAACACATGGAATTAATCCAGGACATGATCGTGGATGATAAAGCTGACCTAGTTTGCACTATTAAGATGAGGCAGCTGGTCTTGTCTGAGTGCAACCCTCAGCAGTCGGGAGAGAGTGTCGTGGGGTGGAGGAGAGGCACAATGATTCATAGAGATATCATCACCCTTGCCAGGTGTCAGATGGCCTATATCAAATATATATCATTTACCTTGTGTTGGGCAATAGGGACGGTCCTGGGATTCTGTGAGCATATCATGAGGCTGAGCAAATATTGCTCTTGTTCTGAGGCGCATCCTGCTTAAATGTCCTCCTGGTTAGACATTGGTGTTGCCTTTCAAACCAGGATTGCTTTGGCTGTGTATCGCATTACTTTGCTTTTAATTGTAAACTGCCTGGGGATCTGTTAGAGCTGAAAGGCACTCTGTAAATACAGCAGGTAAGTCATGAGCAGGATTCGTTCCTCAGCCGCACCAGCTTTCGTGGCTTCATTTGGAAACAATTCCCAGCCACTTTGGGGAAATGTTTTCAGGAGCTGGAGGGAGAAATGTACCAGAGTTCTTGCTGTTCTGTGCGGGGATGAGCCGCCATTTTGGATTTCCCAGAATGCACTGTCCTGATGGGCACTTTGGGGTAGGATTAAAGCCGTCGCGATGGCGGCACCATTCCTGCGGCAAGGGCCATTCTTTTTAGAGCATGGCATTCTGGGAAATCTGAAATGGCAGCTACCAACCCAACAAAGATCTTGTTATGCCGCAGACCATAGAGAAAGAGCTAGATAACTAGATAGAGGAATGCAAAATGCAAAAGATGGAAAGCTGTCCCAGAGAGAGAGAGAGAGAGAGAGAGAGAGAGAGAGAGAGAGAGAGAGAGAGAGAGAGAGAGAGAGAGATGCCCAGCTGCGATGAATATCTCTGTTAGGTATTCTTTAGCTGTGGTGCCTGCATTGCATGGGGCTGGACTAGATGACCCTTTGGGTCCCATCCAGCTATGTAATTCTGTAAATAGTCTGCATCAGTGCTGGGGTCCACCACCGCATACGCCCAAAAGCCACTAGCTCCACCTCCACCTGCTCTGATTTTTATCTCCTGACCGAGAATTCTGCTCCAGAACACACTAGGAACCAGATTTCCCTTTCCCTTTTCCAAAAGTCGGCCGCTCTACCCTTGGCGCAATGTTGACCGTGCTTGAACACTTGGCGCAATCCGTTGCTTTGCGATTTAAATTACAATCCATAGCTTAGTGTCCCCTGTGCTATTAAACACCTATCTGAAACCACTGGGAGATGTTATTTGGAGTGAGGTGTCACCAACGCACAGGTGACGACACCCAACTCTATCTCTCTGCTCCATCTAAATCAGGGGAGGAGGTTGAGGTGCTGCACGAGTGCTTTGAAGTGTTGATGAGCTGGACGTGAGCCAATAAATTGAAACTGGATTGAGGAAATGTCGGTGCTAGGTGTTCGAGTTCAAAAGGTGGGGAGATGGGCTCTGCTGGGCTGAGCTTCATCCCCTGCAAGGAATAGGCCTGTACCTTGGGAGGTGCTTCTACATCCAACCCTCTCAGGTGGCTTTCTCAGCCTTGTTGTTGTTGAGTCCTTTAGTCGTGTCCGCCTCTTCGTGACCCCCTGGACCAGAGCACACCAGGTACTCCTGTCTTCCACTGCCTCCCGCAGTTTGGTCAAACTCATGCTGGTAGCTTCGAGAACACTGTCCCACCATCTCGTCCTCTGTCGTCCCCTTCTCCTTGTGCCCTCCATCTTTCCCAACATCAGGGTCTTTTCCAGGGAGTCTTCTCTTCTCATGAGGAGGCCAAAGTCTTGGAGCCTCAGCTTCAGGATCTGTCCTTCCAGTGAGCACTCAGGGCTGATTTCCTTCAGAATGGATAGAATCATAGAATCATAGAATCATAGAGTTGGAAGAGACCACAAGGGCCATCGAGTCCAACCCCCTGCCAAGCAGGAAACACCATCAGAGCACTCCTGACGTATGGTTGTCAAGCCTCTGCTTAAAGACCTCCAAAGAAGGAGACTCCACCACACTCCTTGGCATCAAATTCCACTGTCAAACAGCTCTTACTGTCAGGAAGTTCTTCCTAATGTTTAGGTGGAATCTTCTTTCTTGTAGTTTGGATCCATTGCTCCGTGTCCGCTTCTCTGGAGCAGCAGAAAACAACCTTTCTCCCTCCTCTATGTGACATCCTTTTCTATATTTGAACACGGCTATCATATCACCCCTTAACCTCCTCTTCTCCAGGCTAAACATGCCCAGCTCCCTTAGCCGTTCCTCATAAGGCATCGTTTCCAGGCCTTTGACCATTTTGGTTGCCCTCCTCTGGACACGTTCCAGTTTGTCAGTGTCCTTCTTGAACTGTGGTGCCCAGAACTGGACACAGTACTCCAGGTGAGGTCTGACCAGAGCAGAATACAGTGGCACTATTACTTCCCTTGATCTAGATGCTATACTCCTATTGATGCAGCTCAGAATTGCATTGGCTTTTTAGCTGTCGCGTCACACTGTTGGCTCATGTCAAGTTTGTGGTCAACCAAGACTCCTAGATCCTTTTCACATGTACTGCTCTCAAGCCAGGTGTCACCCATCTTGTATTTGTGCCTCTCATTTTTTTTGCCCAAGTGCAATACTTTACATTTCTCCCCGTTAAAATTCATCTTGTTTGTTTTGGCCCAGTTCTCTAATCTGTCAAGGTCGTTTTGAAGTGTGATCCTGTCCTCTGGGGTGTTAGCCACCCCTCCCAGTTTGGTGTCATCTGCAAATTTGATCAGGATGCCCTTGAGTCCATCATCCAAGTCGTTGATAAAGATGTTATAGAATCATAGAATCATAGAATCATAGAGTTGGAAGAGACCACAAGGGCCATCGAGTCCAACCCCCTGCCAAGCAGGAAACACCATCAGAGCACTCCTGACATATGGTTGTCAAGCCTCTGCTTAAAGACCTCCAAAGAAGGAGACTCCACCACACTCCTTGGCAGCAAATTCCACTGTCAAACAGCTCTTACTGTCAGGAAGTTCTTCCTAATGTTTAGGTGGAATCTTCTTTCTTGTAGTTTGGATCCATTGCTCCGTGTCCGCTTCTCTGGAGCAGCAGAAAACAACCTTTCTCCCTCCTCTATGTGACATCCTTTTCTATATTTGAACATGGCTATCATATCACCCCTTAACCTCCTCTTCTCCAGGCTAAACATGCCCAGCTCCCTTAGCCGTTCCTCATAAGGCATCGTTTCCAGGCCTTTGACCATTTTGGTTGCCCTCCTCTGGACACGTTCCAGTTTGTCAATGTCCTTCTTGAATAAGACCGGGCCCAAGACAGAACCCTGTGGCACCCCACTAGTCACTCTTCTCCAGGATGAAGAGGAACCATTGATGAGCACCCTTTGGGTTCGGTCAGTCAGCCAGTTACAAATCCACTGAGTGGTAGCATAGTCAAGACCGCATTTTAGCAGCTTCTTTACAAGAATATCATGGGGCACCTTGTCAAATGCCTTGCTGAAATCAAGGTAGGCTACATCCACTGCGTTCCCTTCATCTACCAGGCCTGTAATTCTGTCAAAAACGAGATCAGGTTAGTCTGACATGACTTATTTTTCAGAAATCCATGCTGACTATTGGTGATCACAGCATTCCTTTCTAGGTGCTCACAGACTGTTTGCTTAATGATCTGCTCCAGAATCTTCCCTGGTATTGATGTCAGACTGACTGGGCGGTAATTATTTGGGTCCTCTCTTTTCCCCTTTTTGAAAATAGGGACAACATTTGCCCTCCTCCAGTCTGCCGGGACTTCGCCTGTTCTCCAGGAATTCTCAAAGATGACTGCCAGTGGTTCTGAGATCACATCTGCCAGTTCTTTTAATACTCTTGGATGCAGTTCATCTGGCCCTGGAGACTTGAATACATCTAAACTAGCCAAGTATTCTTGTACTATCTCCTTAGCTATTCTGGGCTGTGTTTCCTTTGCTGAATCATTTGCTCCAAATTCTTCAGGTTGGGCATTGTTTTCTTTATCGGAGAAGACTGAGGCAAAGAAGGCATTGAGGAGTTCAGCCCTTTCTGTGTCCCCTGCTTGCATTTCACCATCTTCTCCTCTGAGTGACCCCACTGTTTCTTTGTTCTTCCTTTTGCTACGAACATACCCATAAAAGCCTTTTTGCTGCTTTTAACCTCTCTAGCAAGCCTGAGTTCATTCTGTGCTTTAGCTTTTCTGACTTTGTGTCTACACGTGCTGGCTATTTGTTTGAATTCCTCTTTGGTGGTTTCCCCCTTTTCCATTTTTGTACACATCCTTTTTAATCTTAACTCAGTTAAAAGTTCTTTAGATAGCCACCCTGGCTTCTTTAGGCACCTTCCATGTTTCCGTCTCAGTGGTATTGCCTGACGTTGTGCTTTTACTATCTCCCTCTTAACAAACTCCCAGCCATCATGAACTCCCTTTCCTTTTAGTATTACTGTCCATGGGATCTCACCCAGCACTTCCCTAAGTTTTATGAAGTCGGCTTTCTTAAAGTCAAGAAATTGAGTCCTAGTATGCTTGGCTGCTCCTTTCCGCTGTATAGTAAACTTCAGAAGAGCATGATCACTCGCGCCTAATGATCCTTCCACTTCTACGCCACTAACCAGGTCATCAACATTGGTTAGGACCAGATCTAAAATGGCTGTTCCTCTTGTTGCTTCTCCCACTTTCTGGACAATGAAGTTGTC